TGATTTATTGTAGAGTTGAGGTCTCGCCAAGTTGCCCAGGCGGGTCTCGAACCCGTGGGCCCAGGCAGTCCACTTACCTCAGCTTCCCAAAGCGCGGGATTACAGGCTGAGCCACCGAGCCCGGCACGAATATGGGATTTATGAAACAAGTAGGTCCTGCACTGGGCCTTGACTAAGTGGAGGGTTTCCCAGGACGTGTGCAAAGGCAAAGACTTCAGAGAACCCAAGCAGAGACATGAAAGGCATATGGGCACATTGGAGGAGTGGGAAGGGAAATCTTGACTGCCATTAAATGTGATGGATTGGGGCTACGATGGATAATAAGGTAGACTGGGACTAGATTTCAGTTGTTCTGGGAATGACATTGAGAAAGGTCTGAAGGGGAGAATGTGGTACTAGGGAAGTCAGAAAGTACATTCATCCAGGCATGTGATAAAACTCTGTAGCTGGGTTTTGGCAATGGGAATGGAGAGGAAGGAAGAGCCAAGGGAGGCCAAGCAGAGCCACCACAGCTAGATGGCCACAGGAGCCCAGGATGCCACCCCTGCGGCACTCCTGTGACCACCACTGGTCTCGTGCCACCACAACCCATGTGTTTTTTTCTCAACTGTTTGTACTTATTTTTATCACAAGATTCCAAGTCCCACGTGGGGTGTGCCTATGTCTTGGGTGGTCAGAGCAAAGGGAGGGTCTCAGCCCTTAGACTCCCAAGAGGGAGGTAGAGAGCTGGCTGTCAGCTAGATCACATCAGAAGAGAACCCTCCCTAGATCAAAGAGGGATAGGGTGCTGGACAGTCAGAAGGAGAAAACATGCTCGCTACAGGGCCAGACAGTGAGAGGCGTGTATGCCCCTCTGCTGGGGGAAAGGGTAGACTTTATATAAGTCTATGTGCTATGATTAACTTAGTCACAAAATTCTGGGAACAAGGTGGGATTTGGGCTGCAGAGGGGATAGATTGGTGGCAAAGAGACCAGGGAAAGCGTGTAAGGGAAGGCAAATTAGAGGAGCATTTATTTCTCAAGGATAATCACAAGGTCTGGGACTCAAACAATGGAGGAGGCAAGAGAGAGAACAGAATTTAGGACTCGGTCCCTGGCAATGCCAATTACTGATTCCGAGAATACAGGAGATGAAATAGGCTGGTGGAGGAGGATGTTGAGATCATCAAAGGTCAGTAACATGAAACAGACAGTTTAGGACAGATCTCAGTATGAAAGATGGAAATGGAGGTGATGCTTCTCTTATAATCTAGGTTTATAAAGGATAACAAAGGCAAGGAAATGAATGAAATCCTCCAGGAAGAAAAAGAGGGAAATAGAAGAAAGGACAGGCTCACGCCTATAATTTCAGCACTTTGGGAGGCCAAGATAAGAGGATTGCCTGAGCCCATGGGTTCAAAACCAGCCTGGGCGGGGCTCGGTGGCTTGGCCTGTAATCCCGCACTTTGGGAGGCTGACGTGAGTGGATTGCCTGAGCCCGCGGGTTCGAGACCCTCCTGGGCAACTTGGCGAGACCTCATCTCTACAATAAATCAAAAAA